CCTATGGAGGAGTGATCCAGCTCTCAGATTTCATCAAAAATATCTTAATTCGTGTTCCGAAGATGAACGAAGGTCTTACAGGGTTGGAACAACATGAGGGTAAGTAATTACTGACAGAATTGTCATTTTTGGGTGAACTAACCCTTTAAGTTGTTTAATTCTGGTCATTACTTGTTTTACTTTAGTTAATTTCCCCAAACCTCTCACATTCCACGATGTTATTTTAAATTCTGAATTGGAGCCCATTACAGCGTTAGTGCCTAAATTGTGAGCTGCTTATTATTACAAGCTTGTACCCTAGCCTGTTACAGTAAAATGCAATTGCCCCTGTTACTGAAAAATGATAAAATATACATAGAATGCTTCTTTTGGCACTGGCTCCCTGAACTCGCCAGTGCTTTACCCCTACACACCTATAAACTGAGAATTCAACACTTTGTCTCACCGATCCTACCGCTAGGAGCAGCATAACACGGATCACAAGCATATTCTCTGCCATATGCTCCCACAAACAAACGGCTGAACATTTTAGAAATTGAACAGCCTATAATAGAAACTGAAATAACTGCAAAAAACTGAAAATTCTCCACCTCAGCTGGACTCTCAAAAATGCGGTCTCGCCCTGCATGAGTGACGCGTAGCTTTGCTGGAAAAATTAGTCCATATCGGATGTCCATGGCTTTAAAGGGATACTCCACCAGTTTTTCTTATTAAACTATGTTATTCCCTTAACTAAGACGAGTTGATACATACCTCTCTCGTCTCAGTGCGTGCACTATATCGCTCTGTATTGCCGCAAAACTATGTTAGCACTTAGCTTAGCCCATGCATTAAATATGGGCCAAGCAGAGAAGCGACCAAACACTTCCACGTTTTCCCTATGTAAACACAGTTACTCGAGTAGTGTAACTTGACCTGGGCTGGTGACACAAAATAAACCGTTGCGCTTTTCTAAGCGTTTAAAATTGATGACTATATTGTATGGCGGAATACCATAACAAGTGCTTTTGAGCACTTCGACTTGGCGCAATAATATCTTCACTCGTGAAAAGTCCCGGCTCCCGCTTCCTCTCCCCCTCCCTCTGACATTTCCGTCAATACAACCAACGTGACTTTTACTACCTGTGCTGTGCTATTAGCAAACTGCAGATCATTTGCAATGGCGGACTTTGTAGATGATTATGACTTCTTTGTAGAAGACCCGGAGCCATATCTGTTTGAACCCGAGTACACGGAGGAGGAATTAGCTCTTATGGACCGTGAGAGGCAAGAAAGATATGATCCAGAACAGACCGGAGCTGGCGAAAGACCACGGGCAAACAGCAATTGGTGGTGCAAGTGTGACTGTTGCGAACAGATGCCGACCGAAATTGAGAGCCTGTGCTGTTTAGAATGCTAACTAAGCTAACTAGCTTCCAACAACCTGTTACTTCGTCAACTCCGCTCGAACTACTACTACCGGCGCATGTCACGTTGGTTGTATTGACGGAAATGTCAGAGGGAGGGGGAGAGGAAGCGGGAGCCGGGACTTTTCACGAGTGAAGATATTATTGCGCCAAGTCGAAGTGCTCAAAAGCACTTGTTATGGTATTCCGCCATACAATATAGTCATCAATTTTAAACGCTTAGAAAAGCGCAACGGTTTATTTTGTGTCACCAGCCCAGGTCAAGTTACACTACTCGAGTAACTGTGTTTACATAGGGAAAACGTGGAAGTGTTTGGTCGCTTCTCTGCTTGGCCCATATTTAATGCATGGGCTAAGCTAAGTGCTAACATAGTTTTGCGGCAATACAGAGCGATATAGTGCACGCACTGAGACGAGAGAGGTATGTATCAACTCGTCTTAGTTAAGGGAATAACATAGTTTAATAAGAAAAACTGGTGGAGTATCCCTTTAAGCTGTTGCTTCACTTGGTAGAATTTCCTTCTATTCAGATGCGTTTCTCTGGCGATATCCTGAAAAAACTTTACTTCGCGTTCGTCATATGTTACCTTGCCTTTGGCCCGCACGACTTGTAACACTTTGTCTTTATCCTTCGAAGTCAAGAAGCGCATAATGAGTATTCTGGGAACGTTCCGATCTCTGGAGTCCTGTAAGCGGTGAGCTCTTTTAATCGTTGTCGAGTTGGTAAAAGACTCTGGTCCCAGTACCTCAGGCAGCCATCTCTCAAGGAAACCCACCGTATCTGAGCCCTCAGCGCCTTCAGGGAGGCCAACGAGGCGCACATTATTACGACGACTTCGATTTTCCTGGTCTTCCTGTTTAACTCCAAGAAGTTTCACCTGTTGCTGCAGAGTGTCTACGGTATTTTGCCGTTTGCACACCTGGTCTTCTGTATCGCAATTGCACTCATAATGTTGCTCTCTTGATTTTTGTCAGTAGGCCTATTTGCGCTGACTTTACCCTCAGGTGCCATGATAGCATGCGAATTAGCAGGCTCGGCAATGGATTCGTCTTGATTTCCGTGTTTTTTCTTTGTTGTTCGCAATGTCATCTTGTCGTAGTGTTGTTTACAGTGACTTATATATTTGTTCAGTTTCAGAACGATATGAGGCTGTTTAAGAATGAAATTGCCGCATGCTGTAAGAGCTCAGATAAACGTGCGATCAACGTGCCGCCATGTTGAAAATCCTGTGTAAAATATCTATTTGTTTTGTTTTCTGTGTGTCTAGAAATGCTGTCTAACAAAGTGGGCAAACAGCTGGGTCACCCCACGTATTCTTTATCTGGATGGTTGGTGACCAAATTCCTTAAATGGCACAATCAGATTTTGGAGGAGAATGCAGTGAAATTGAGCAACATACAACCCAACGACACAGTGCTGGAGCTGGGTCACGGGCCGGGCTTCGGTCTTCAGGAGGCCTCGCAGCTCCTCATGGGCCCGAGAGGGAAACTGCTGGGTGTGGACTACTCACAATACATGCATCAGATGGCCAGCAAGCGCATGGAGGAGCAGATCTCCAGAGGAAAGGCTGTGTTGTATTACAGTGATTTGGTGGCCATGCCGATAGAGGAAAACACTGTTGACAAGGTGTTTCACTGTAACTGTTATTACTTCTGGCCGGATCTCAAAGCGGGAGCGAAAGCGATCCACAGAGTGATGAAACCAGGTGAGATCACGAGAACTTGAGTTATTCAATAACAATTCTAAACCGTTTTGAGGTTAAATTAGGTAATTTTTTTCATTGAATATTAATATAATGTTCAAATTTTATGTTGAACAATAGTTATCTTTATTGGTTAAAGCGATAGTTCACCCAAAATTAAAAAAAAAAGTAATTAATTATTCACCCTCAGGTCGTTCCAAACCCATTAGACTCGTTTATCTTCAAAACAAATCTTGAGAGATTTCGCAACTACCACTTTGTCACTTTACCAAGTTAATGAAGAGATCTTAAAACGAATCCATATGAATCGAGAGGTTTAGTAAAAAGTTTCTGAAAAGATTCGATCGCTTTTTTTTGATAATTGAATTTAGGCTTTTATTCAAATATAAACATTAATTAGCGAACATAAACAGAAGCTCAACCGTTCTTTGACGTGGGAGAAAAAAACATCATTGGTTCTTGCGGAAGCTCAAACATGCTGCGTAACATACAAGAAAATAAATAATTTGTTCCTGCGGAAGCTCAAACGTAAGAAGAATGAACCTCGTTGATTCTCACACGTCTTGCACTTCCGTTTCAACTGTTTATAAATGTAAATAAAAGCTTGCTTGAACTGCTCCAAGCACTTTGTTCAGATCTTCATCTAACATGGACCACTCCTTCCCTTCACTCATTTTGGGCCACTTAATTCTTTCCTTTGTTGGCTGGGGTGGGCTTTCTGGAATGGTGTTGGAGGCCCTCCTTGTGCGATCTTGGGGGATTGCCGGCATGAGAGATCACTAGGACTATGGTGCAGAGGTGGGACCAAGTCATTGTTTTGCAAGTCAGAAGTAAGTCTCGAGTCTTTGCATTCAAGTCCCAAGTCAAGACAGGCAAGTCCAAGTCAAGTTGCAAGTCCTCGAGTTTAAGCTTCAAGTTTTAAACAAGTCATTAGTGCTTTTTGCACAAATTAGTATCTCAGTGTTAATTACTAAAGTAAATGAAATGTATATAATTTATATCAGGAAGGCTTTTAAAATATGTTCATGACTTAGCAGTTAAATTTCATATTTATTGCGATAAGATTTTCACTAAGGGCACCCACCCATCTATCTCAGTTCAATTTAGGGATTGTTCTTATGTGTGACAAAATAAGGAAAAGGCAGTGAAATTTTTAATTTTGTATTATTGGTAACCCAGTAAGAAAGGCAAAATCATTTAATAGAAATAACTGCTACACATTTTGTATGTGTGTGTGTGAGAGAGAATGTGTCTGAGTGTATTCAAAGCCATTATTAAGGCATAAGAAATAACTGCTAGGCTACTATTCCACATTTTACAAATGAGAGAGGAAACATTTTTCATTTAAAAATAAAAGTAACTGTTCATTGGGAAAATTAATCGTGAGTCCAAGTCATGCGACTCGAGTCCACAACCCAGCTATGGTGTGCTTCCTGCCTAGGGTTCTCCTGCGTCTCACCAGATTGTTCGTCTGAGCGGTGTGCATGCATCCGTCCTTGTCCACAAGTGGACTTGCTCTGGTGTATTTTGAGCCCTCTTACGCCTTTGCAGATTCTTCCGCAGCTGCATTTCACTTCCGGTGCCTCCCCGGTCAAGGTGGTTTGTCTGAGCCTTCTCTGCGTCTGTGTTACTGTCATTGTCGTTAGCCTTGAATCTGTCCTGGTGAGCCTCTCAACGTTCGCGCTTCAAAAAAGCCACAGTTTACTTTGCAGACATCCCAAGTCTCGCGGAAGTTCCTGGAGTCTCCCGCATATTGATAGCTGCTCCCTGATGCCCGCAAATTAGTTAATCTCCCGGAATCTAGAGTGAACGAGCGAGCAATAGCGCACAATCGTGCATGCGAGACAGAAAAAACTGTGCTCCAAACCGTATAGCGTGCGCACGGGAGAGAGCGAGAGATCTTGCGTATGTGCCTCATGAAGCGCATAAGACAGAGAGCATCCTGATTGGCCGGTTTCGGCTTTAAAAAAATAAATGTAAAAATCGAGAATCAAATCGAACCGTGACCTTAGAATGGAAAATTTAATCGAATCGAGGATTTGGAGAATCGTGACACCCCTGCTAATTGTTCAATTTCAGACAGGTAAGTTAATCTTTCTCTCAAAATCGTTCAATACTGTTTATGCATCAGTAAGTCAAGCCAGTGACTAAAATATCAGCTTCACATCGTTTCTTTTAGTAGGATGAAAATAATCGTATTTAAATTCTGAACAAATTATATAGAAAGCAATCAAAGAACAATCTTTCCACACAGCGCGAGTTTATCTGGACAACTCGTTATTAAATAGATGACGCACATTACACTGCTCAACGAAGCTCTTACTGTATGTGCATCATCGTGTTTGCATTGGGGAAAGCATTAGAGAGAGTGCAGAAACCGATCTTCATTCTCGCGATCAACTGATTGCTCAATGCTCATCACGGCAACATTTTATGTGACGGGAATAGATCTAAATACTTCAAAAACTTCTCACGATTCGTTAATCTCGATAGCTGTAATAGTAAAAACGTATAATAGCTGTAGTAAAAGTATTCGAGAGAGTTTCACATGCAATACATAGCTATTTCATATGCATGTCAGCCAATCACAGCAGTGGGCGGCTACACTGAATCCCACAGCAGACACGCCCCTTCAAACAGAGCGTTCAAATCAGAGGCTAAAATCAGGCTAGGAAAAATGCCTTTTATTTCTAAATTATGACTATTTTTGATCTAAAAACATACTAACATTATAAGGGCAACCCAGGAAACATTATACAATAATAAAATAACCCCATGTCAGGGGACCTTTAAAACAAATCAATGCGTTAGTTGACTTAACAAACACAAAATAATTTTATTTTATAGACTTTCTCATTAAAATGATAGTACCAGCATAGAGTGAAAATGCTTATTTGAATTGCTATGAAAATGTTTTGCATTAATGACAGCATGTTTTCACAAGTTTGTGCAAACCTGATGATTCATGCGAGCATGATTTGAAAATGAAACTTTGGCCCTAAACTTTAAGACTTACCGTGTGCCACTCTGACCCAACATTTAATAATTAAATCAATGTGCAAATTATGTTCTGTTCCTCAGGTGGAATTATGGTCACAACTCTCAGACTAGGCAGTATTACCAAAGCAGCTTCTATGGGAGTGCTCACTGGAGACAAATGGAGACCTGAGGTCTACATGGAAGCGCTGGAGTCCTCTGGGTTCACAGATGTGCGAATGGAGAACAAAATGGAGAAACTCATCAAATTTCAAGCTATTTTTGCCACTGCTGTGAAATGAAATTCCTGTGTTTTGTATTGATATGTAATAAGATATCTGTCCTTCCACACTTTCTCAAGATCCAATCTACTCCAATTTGTTGTTGAAATAGAAACATTTAAACTGGCTGTAAAAAAATATTTTCATGACAGACTTAAGGCCCTTGCACACTGAGTCCGAAATTTTCCGAAAATTTCGGACTCAGTGTGCAAGGGCCTTTAATGTATTCAATCATACATTAAATAAGGAACTCAACAGGTCAAGTAACAATACAGCATGCAACATTATACTAAGCTGACTACAAACTATGGACATTGAATGGCTTTCCTGTGGTGTTGACATTTTTCTCTTACATTCGCCATGCCTGTATTAAAGAGTGGCAAAACAACATTTATTCTTTGAATTTCTTCATAAAACTGGCTGAATTTGAAAGCTGAGACTTGGGCTATGTTCACACAGCAAGCCTTAAGGCTAATTCTGATTTTTTGCTCAGGCCCGGTTTACACCTGGTGTTAAGATGGGTTCAGGTCGATCGGATCACAAGTCTCTCTTGTCCACTTTCAACCACTTCTGGCCTGATTTCTTCGAGGGGAGGGTCTATGGGGTAAATGTTTTTTTCTTCTTCAGATCTTTCGATCTAACAAAATAAGCTTGTTTACATATGAATGAGCAGAGAAGATGGAAAAACATACGGAGTGTTTTATTATTTTTATATTTATTTTAGTTTCTGCTCTGAGCCGCAAGACCAGCCGAACGCTGTGAGTATGTGTTAGAAATCAGGAATGGTGAGAGAAGATTGTGCTTGGTACGTTTTTTTCATCTTCAATCCAAAATTGGGTCTTCAGCTGACAGTTTAAATCCTGGCTAGAGCTCTTCCCATAATGTTACTCATTAGGTCAGTGTGGAGAGTAGACGGTCTTTTGTGGCATTGGATCATATGACATTCGACCACATGAGCGTTTACACAACGAAAGCAATCCGGTCGAATGTGTTTTCAACTCCCTCTGGAAGTGGTGGAAAGTGGACAAGCTCAAAACCTTTTAGACCCGTTTACACCTGTATTAAGCGTCATCCACTTGTGATCCGATCAAACAAAAACACATATTAATACCAGGTGTAAACAGGGCCTCAGATGCATTTTTTTTTTTGGGGTGGTTCGCTTTATTTTTTTTTTATGTGGCCAATATTAGTTGGGTGTGAATGAATCATGATCCAAACTGACTCGCTTGCGCAAAAGAACAACAACAACAGGTTACTGAAGTCAGCATTTGCAGTTCATTTATAAGGTGCTGTGCCACTGAAGTCAGCGAATTTGTGCACAGGCGATAAGGATGGTTTAAAGCTTCAAAGTCCCTTTAAGATGGTATATAAAGTATTTTGTTCAAGTCCTCCAGGGAAGTTCATATAGCCTATTTACGAGGTGGGAAGTGATGTTTACGATGTTAAGTGCGTTTCAAGTCATTTTCGTCGAAGTAAGATGTACTTTCTCTCAACTACTCAAATACGGCAAGGTTTTCAACTCTATACTTCTAGAAAATGGAATGTGAACAAAGAATGTGCATCAGATGTGTTTTGCCTTTTTGTGTTTTTAATTAATTTATGAAGCTGTAAACTTTGTTACATAGTTATTTTCAATGCTATTATATTTTTGTGCAGGCAATTAGCTTACTTCGTTGTACATAGAAAAGCCTGACAATATCACTGCTCAATACCTATAAGTTTTGGTATTCCGCTGTTTCTCACTAATGCCTCGTTCAGAAATTACATGATTTTAAATGTCAGCAGATCGCTGTGCTCTTCAGACTACATGACTTGCTAGGATATATCTATATATGCACAATATATCGGCCACCATATCGGTATCGCACTGTGTTAATTTTTATTGTTAGTTATTGGCCTGATAAGAAAATTTGGCCGATACATTAAAGCCGATAAATAATGGATTATTTCCTTCAGCTGAGACACTTCAGATGCGCAGTTTGCCATGATGGTTTTGAACTGCTTGAAAAATGATTGAAATCATTAAGTGCTGTTATATAGGATACATACAATTATGAGAACATCATTATAATTGTGTGCTTGGGACATGGCTTTTAATGGAGAAACTTTTGTTTTTGTAATCAGGCTCTTAAAAAAACGTATATAAAAATTTGGATTTAGATTTATCAGCCAATATATATCAGTTATCAGCTTTCAAATATAAAGAATTAATGGTTATCGGTATCTGCCAAAATTTTCTTATCGGTGACGGTGCATCCCTATCCTGTGGAGAATTTGGCCGCCCGATGGAGAAAATCCGATGGGCTTTTTGGACTACTTTTGTTGCACAGACCTGGCAACCCTGCCTACCGTCCTTCTTTGCACCAGCACCAGCCAAGAGAAAACGAGACCGAGGGTGCTTCTCAATTCTTATTTGTGCATCCTTGTTGCCTTTCCTCGCATCTCAGCTCCACCCCTGTAGCATGCGAGGGAAGGCTTTTTACAAGTATTTACAAGATAAGTTATGTTTAGATAATAAACAAAATGCTAATTTAAATTAACAGTATACATAAAACAGATATGAAGAAAACATTTTTCTGTAGAGATTCTGGTGGTGCTGCTGAACCGGGAGGGGCTCCACAATAGAAACGCTGGTAAGGCCTCTGCCGGCGGGACATCATCTGGGATGAGTGCATATTTCCACTGTTTACCAACAGGTTTGCAGGGCTGACTCAGGCGTGGGCTGCCAATCACTGTTCTCAGAAAGAGGGAAGAATAAATATGTAGGCTACTATGAGCTAAACTCAGCAGGACAGCGAGTTCACTAACCAGGACCGTACGTCGCCTATCCCTGAACTAGAAGACATATTTTTTTTGTGTTTCTATTTTATACTGTTCATATTTTTTTAAACAATATCTAATATCAAAATCTAATATCCATGTGTAAAAAGTCAGTTTTTCAGAGAAAGTACAATATTTGCCTCTGAGATGAAGTGAAGTTGAATAACAATCTAAAGTACTTCAAATTTATACTTAAATACAGAGTAAATGTTTTTTGTTACATTCCACCACTGGTTATTTGGAAAATGACACTAACTAAATGTATTGTCACACTAACAAATTGTTGCTAGCTGTGTCCTGGGATGGTCCGGTTTTTGTCGCCTAGCAACTGGTGACAGCTGTTGTGACGAGCGGCAGTAACATTTGTACTGGACTTTTTAAAATTATAACTGCCTAAAAACAAAATCTAAAAATGTTCACCATGGTCAATTTATGTAGGCTACATATACCTAAGTCAACATTTTAACCTTTATTATATATTTTTCTTTCATTTGTATCATCAGATACATTATATGACTCGATAAAACTGAAATCCAATACTTACATTTAAAAGTGTAATCTGGCAATTTCGTCTCCGGCGCACAGCAAGGCTACAAAGGAATCCGTGCGTGGTGGCGGACGGTAATGCATTGCATCGCGCATCACTCAGCTTGTATGCCAAATGCCAATAAAAACTAACGAAGAAGAAGAATATAAATCGTCTTCTTCGTCGTCGTTGTCATCAGGGGCTTGCCGTTGGCGGGCTGTTTTATGTTTCACCAGAGAAAGTCTAATATGGGCTTTGGTTTCACCGTGACCGGCGTCGTAGCGAGCTCACTGGCTCACCCACGGCACATGTTTGCAGTCAGTTGCCTATATACTGGAAATTATTTATGTCACATAAAATTTGATGAAAGTGATGCTTTTGAAAACATATTTCTGACAATAAATGAAAGATTTTTTAAAATGGCATGTCTTGTCTCTGCGGAGCTGAGATGAGAACAATCGGAACACGGCCGTATTCTTGTGCATGCGCATCTAGGTGACACGGATAAATGTACGCAGCAATAATAATGTTCCTGCGAGATTGTTGCGCGGGATGTAGTAGCGCGCAAAAGTTCCAGAAATGTACAAAAAGTGCCCTGGCCTTGAATGACAAGGTAAGGAAAATAAGACTAAATCAAAATTAAATAACCAAGATTGTCCTTGTGATTGTTCTCAAGAGATGTTTTGAGCATTTTACTCATCAGACAGATTTTACTTCAGACACCGGATCAGCAAACTGCCAAGAGAACGGCTATAGCGCTACTCAAAATAAACTAGCAATCTATTCAGTCAGCATATTTGTGTTTGATCTGTGTGAATTACAGAAATATAAGACTTGCTAGACCAAGACTCGCAGAGTAGGCTGTGTGTATGTGTGTGTGTAGGCCTATCTCTCTTCATGTGGCACGTTTGGCACATTGTATGGGTCACTCACTATATAACAAGGTAATACAATGTGTAATCAAGTGATGACTGATTAACAGTAATGTAAACGCTAAATCTTCTACAACAATGCAAAGTAGGCTATATATGCTCTTAACCTTACAGTTTTTCACATTTCATGTAATACTCAATTTATCAATTTCTTTGCACAAAACTCTCCAGAAAGTGCCTTTTAATGGTTTATTTTTTTTAAAAAAATTCCCGGGGGGGCATACCCCCGTACCCCCCTAGGGAGAGCACCCCCACATAATAAAATCAGATGCCCCTGGTTTGGGCTAAGCCCCGAATGTATACATCGTCTGGCTCCGCCCCTGCAAAGGATCCTTCTGATGTGTCCTGCATTCACGCACGGGAAAAGAAGGACGCATTTGCAGGCCGCATTTGAAGGGACATCCTTCATCGCGCCGCGGTGACGCAATCGGCTACCCTTAAAATATTCTCGGTGCGTCCTTTGAAGACCGCGTCGGCCGCGCACTTCGAAGGATGCAGCCCCTGAATTGGGACACAGCTGCTGTCTGTAATCTGGAGTCTTGAAGTCATTGTGGTGTTCAGACGGTGGCCCAGTAGTGCACAACACAACGACATTTAAAAAGCAAACATAAGTTCACAACACAACGGAATTAAGCCACAACACAACGGAAAATCTACAACACAATGAAATAAAGCCGCAACACAAAGGAAATGCTCCCGACCACTAGAGGGCTCTCGGGCATGATAAAGTTAGTTTTCCTTGCCATTG